ACTCGGAGCTATAGCAATTACAACAATAACAATGATATCAGTAACAAGAAGGATGGAGGCAATAAAACTGAAGACAATGTATCAATATCAACAATAAGACTCTTAGCAAAGTAATTAATACATTGTTGATTGAAGAAATTTTTTTTTCTCCTGTTAGTAAGAGTTTTTCATTTAAATAACAATAAATATAAAAAAATGAAAAAAACTTTAATGAAATTAAGAAAAAAATTAACTTTTTTCTCGCAACAATTCTGAAAATATTAAATGAGTGAATATACAAGCTTCAGCGAATATTTTTCAAAATTATTTATGTAAATGTCTTATTTATCTGATTGTTACTGGCAACTTTTTCTTCTTATTTATTTATTTATTTTTTTTGTTTCTATTTTTCTGTATTTTAATGACATTATATGTATTTTCTTCTCCGGTGATAAGAAGCTTTACTATATTTTTTCATTTTTGCAGTGAATGGTTTTGATTCACGTTCTGCCAACGCCACATAAATAATATGTGCGAATGTAATTGTAGACACTGCTTGAAGTCCTTTTGCTAATAGCACTCGGAGTGATGTACTCATAGATTATAGGTTAGTCTGATAGATTTGGTGGTAAGCCTATGCCTGATACTGCAATATGAGAGAATCACTATACAGAGAAAAGGAAGGTAATGCAATGTTGTTATGAGAAACCCATAGAGAATTCTATGTTTTATTATTATTTTTAATTAAATTGTTAAAGATAATTAACAAATAATTTTTAAAACATATTTTTTATTTTATTCGTTACGTTTATTGCCTTTTAGAAACACAATATTTCGTTCCTTACTTGATACTTTCCAACTGAAGTACTGTAATGCGATATGTTTTTCCGGTTATTACCGGTATTGTAGTAAATTAATGTAACTTTAGAAACTTAATTTTAGAATGACGTCATCAACTCTATCCAATGGTACTATAATGAGATGTTTTAAGTAAATTGTGTTAAATTGTTAAAAATGCTAAAACTTACGCCAGTGAATTCCACTTGCAATTTCCTTCATTATTGCAATAATAGCATTGATTGGTTTCAACTCATAAACTGCTTCTAAGGGGTGACGACAAGTCTTTGGTTCCTAAAGTGATATAGAAAACATGTTTAGAAAAAGATTATATGAAAACTATGTTCATAAATTCTCTTTGTTGTTGCTTCTTTATTACTGTTCGAACTCTTTTAGATTCTTTTCGTTATAAGACCCGTCACGTTCGAAAAAAAAATTTTTTGCTGTTGCTACTTCGTTACTGTTCGAACCCTTTTAGTGTCTTTTTGTCATAAGACGCATCACATTTGACAAAAAAAATTTTTGTTGTTGCTTATTCATTACTATACGAACCCTTCTAATTTCTTTCCTTCATAAGACGCATTACATTCGAGAAAAAAAAAATTTGTTGTTGTTTATTCATTACTATACGAACCCTTTTAGTTTTTTTTTGTCATAAGATCCGTCACAAAAAAGTTTTTGTTGTTGCTTCTTCATTACTGTTCGAACCCTTTTAGTTTCTTTTTGTCATAAGACGCATCGCATTCGACAAAAAAAGTTTTATTGTTTGTTTTTCATTGCTGTTCGAACCCTTCTAGTTTCTTTTTGTCATAAGACGCATCACATTCGACAAAAAAAATGTTTATTGTTGCTTCTTCATTGCTATTTGAACCCTTCTAGTTTCTTTTCGTCATAAGACGCATCACATTTGAGAAAAAAAAATTTTTGCTGTTGCTTATTCATTGCTGTTTAAACCCTTCTAGTTTCTTTTCATCATAAGACGCATCACATTTGACAAAAAAAATTTTTGTTGTTGCTTATTCATTACTATACGAACCCTTCTAGTTTCTCTTCTTCAGACGCATCACATTCGACAAAGGAAAAAAATAATCAACGTTAATATCCTTTGAAATTTCAACACTCATATGAGAAATAAAGCAAATATATTATCCTTAAAATGAGGGAATGATATGAAATAGGTGCAATAACAAAAATAACAAACTTTATGGTTCCTTGTATAGTAGTAGGTAGTGAATATTCATTTTTTTTCTAAAACTTCAGTTTTAAATAGCCTAAAATAAAGCACTTAAAATCAATTCAATAAATTCAAAGGATAATAAAACAGACTATAAAGCGCATTGTGCCTTCCACTTGTTACAAAAGCAAACTAATACGACAAACCGACTCGACTATGACCCTAAAATATCATATAGCAATGCAGCGCAAATAGATTCTGTTCTATTTGGTTACTCTGTTTTTTATGAGAATTTATTTCCCGAACCATTTTTGGGTCTTTGAAAGCTTTTCTTGCACATTTAACGCAGTGCACACTTGGCGGCCTAAAACTCATAAATCGTCTTTGTTTTCTCCACATTATTTGGTTTCGTTTGGTTTGGTTCGGTTTGGTTTGGTTGGATTTGTTTTTTTTTTATTTTTCTTCTTCTTATTGCATTTATTGTTGTTGCCTTTTGAGAGGATAAAGCATTTTGCGCCTGTTGTTGAAACTGATTCAATTCGAGTGCGGCAAATATTTCATATGCGCTTTCAACCACATTGCGCGATTTTTATTCATTCGCACATTCACTCATTCATTCATTCACTCATTCATTCATTCATTCATTCATTCATTTAGGCACTCACATGTGCACGTTCTATTTCCGTTTCCGTTTATTGTTCTTATTGTTTTGGCTGTTGACGTCGTTATTGCTACTTGAAGTTACCAAAAATAGCGTAAAGTGGAAAAGAATATGAGGGAAAAAATAAATAAAAAAAAAACAAAAAAGAAAAAAGGAAAGAACGGTAAAAAGTTACAAAAACACAAAAAGAAAGGAGAAGGGATAAATGTTGGTAGAAGGCAACAGCTTTCATTGTTGTTACCATTTTTTCGCAGTGCATCATTGGGCCAAGAATGGTGAGTAAACAAGGAAAAAAGTACATCAAAAATGTGGTTGCAAATATTTTTAAAATGAAATTCTGACATTTTATTTTTTTTCTCTGTATTTTTTTGTATATTTGGTACTATTTTTCTTACCATTTTTTTTTATTCTATATTTTAAATCGACTAAAAATATTTGTGGAATTCCCGTATATAAAAAGGCCAAACATATTTACGAAGTAAATTTTTGTAAATTTTTTTTTTTCCACACGGAAAGATTTTTTTTTCTTAAAACATTAAAACAATATGAATATATATAGTAGAAAAATGTGGGCAAAACAGAAGGATTACAATGTTTTTCGTAAAGAAAGTAAACAAATATTATATTTTTAGAACCTAATTGTGTAGAATTAAAGGAAAAAGAACTTCATTTCAACGAAATTAGAAAAAAAAAGCAATTAAATTTGACAGCTCCAAAGTTTTAAGCGTGGCACTTACTACGGTGCGATACTCTATCTACTCTTAACTCAAAAAGTGGGCACAATAGACCCGACGGTTGCAGTGCAACATCTCCAAACAATTATACCTGCAAGAGTGAGCGTCGATGATACAGAGATACAGTGGGAGGAAAGCATAAAATACATGGGTGTCGCTTTTGACAAACGGCTCAATTGGTATAAATATATGAAAGGCAAACGGAATAGCTGCTCTAAAATTCTACATTTTCTAAAGCCAGTGTTTAATAATAATCACTTCAACCTCAAAAATAGAAAGTTATTATATACTCAAATAATTAGGCCAGCACTACTATACGGATGTGTTCCATACAGCAAACCCTAAAATACTGTCATAAAGCAATTGCAGATAGCACAAAACCTGGTTATAAGAAGACTATTTAAGATTCCATGATATGTATATATTTCTTTCATTAATATTTAATGTGTCAGAGACTTTTTAATATTGATATAGTTGCTTGGTCTTAGAGCAAGCGTTATATGGGTACGCCGTACTGATAATCATTGCTCGAGTCGGTGAATATATATGAATATATATATATATATATGTATATATATATATATGAGACACACTGCAGAACATGACCCTCAAGCATTTCATTCTGGTAGGAGTCAGTAATGGCGATTAATGGGACTAAAGTGTCAAGCAAGTCAGTCAGTTTTCGTGAATAAAAGTAAAATGCGTATTGTCTATGTTTATGTGCATGAAGTGTGTATGTAAATTTGCATGAAGTGTGTACAATATAAATGTACATTCCATATAGTGTTTATCAGTAGCTTATCGTCATTACTATCACATTATAGGTTAAGTTAGGTTAGGTTCAGAAGGCGCGTGCTGACAGTTGTTAACACTTCCACTCTGAGGCATATATTACCCATTGTGATGCCCTTAAAAAATTTTGCCGGGAGAGACGAGTTGCTTTTGGTTTTCCAGATGAAGTTAAAGAGAACCGATAAGTTTACTTTTCTTATCTCTTCCAAGTCAGTGAAAAAGCTGAGAATCGCGGACATTAAAGCCGCCTTGTCTGCAGTCCTGAACAGAGACAGAAGAAGTGGTTGATAGATTCTAGCTCTTGTTCAACTTGGCAACTCCTGCGTAATCCACTTATTAGAACACACAACACAGCACAGTGCTCCATTAGTACTTCACACGAACTGCAAAAACTGACACAAGAGATCACATTTATAAAATACAAGCAAAATATACAGACTACTCATAAGATGATTTTAATTTCAGAACGTTTCTTTGATTAGTTCGGTATAGATGACGACTCTGGTGCTGAAGAAAAATGTTAGCGAATTTAGAAAGAAATTTATAAAAAAGCAAAACGAGCCATCAAAAATTTCATCAGATCTATGGCAACATCATCAGACGCATATATATGAACCCGATCACGCATATACTTGTTAGATCCCGAAACGACTGATTTTTAATGTCATTAATATAAGTACTCGTAATTTTAGGTACAGTGGAAGCATGATGTAGTAAATGGTTCATGGGACTTGAAATTATCAGGTTTTCACCTAAATACTTAAATCAAGTAATCCAAGTTTCATGTTTAAAAATTTAGTCAATAATTTGTTTATTAGAATTTTGTAATTTAAAAAGTGGTTAAAGTTTTTCGGCACAACGAAATCAAAATTATATTTTTTTGAGCACTGTAAGAACTTGGAGAATTATATTGAATATAATTTGAAATTTGGCAAGAACCTTACGATTACTCTTACTGTATTTGATAAGGTAATATTGATTTTTTATTAGATAAAAATCAAGTGCTTTGCTAATTAAAATTTTTATTTTTTTCACAATGAATTGAAGCTAACATACTTCAAATTTGCATCAAAAACTGACTTGCTTTTATTACTTTATACTGGAACGTTCTGGAGAATAGTAATTTAGCGCATAATTGCCAGGACTCATTTAAAGCCGGTAATTATATAAAATACTCTACATATTTTATATATATTTATATAATAGTTTTTATATTTTTTTGCAATCCGGTTATTGGTCACTTTTTGTTAAATAATTTAACGTTTAATATTTTTTATTATATTCTATATTTCGGCTCTCCTTGAGAGCCATCATTAGAATCACGATCTCATATAAATTAATATTACCAAAACTATATCTACGTCATTCCCTTAATTCTATCGTCTATATAGCATTATAGACGATAGAATAAAGAGGATGATGTTGCTGTCGTCTATATTGCACTATAGAAGATTGAGGTGCCTTGATTTCAAAAAAGGGAGATAAAAAAGATTTTGGCATTGCGCTTATATGGTTCTTTTAAGGCGCATCTACGAACCAGTTGATTGTCAATTACAGAACACAGCAAGCTGCCTTTTGATTCAAGAGGTCAGGCGTTGACCACAAAAACAGTTTGCGATTAATCATAGATTAATACAACGATTATAACTCAGCACTCTTTCTGGTATTTATCGACTTCTTGAAAGCTTTTGATTCCATTGACATAATATGACTTGCTCTACAAAGCATGGGTGTACCGGATAAAATTATTTACATTATTAATTATTTACGTTATCAATACGAGGGAACCTTTACGAGACTCGTACACTACGGCAATGTTAGCTATCCTTTTACCACACACACAAACTGGTGTCAAACAAGAATGCCATTTATCTTCTCTTCTGTTTGCGGTGACATAAGATTGCATATTAAAATCAGTTGCTTATAGAAGGCGAGGAATTACGTGGAGACTCAGACAACATCTAGAAGATCTTGACTATGCCGAAGACATTGTTCTAGTTTTTTCACACAGAGAACATAGGCAATCAAAAGTTGCATTATAGCCGTGGCATTGGAACTACGCATCAAGGTTTCAAAAACTAAAGCATACACGATTAAATCATCCCACACACCATCTTTTAAGGTTAACAATGACGGTATAGAGAACATCAACGACTTCTGCTATTTCGGTAGCATAATTACTTCTATGGGCGACAGACTAAATAAAGCCTACTACGACAAAAATTAACGTATATAAGGCATGTGTTAAGTCTGTACTACTCTATCGCTCCGGGTCCGAAACATGTGCTGAAAGTCAGTGCTGAAATCAAACAAATGCTGCATATATTTACTAATAGATGCCTGCGTGATATATTTAAGATCTGTTTCAACTAACAAGACAAAAAGACATTAACACCCAAATAAGGAGGCAACTCCTGGCTACAACTGGCCAGGAGTTCCTCGCCTTCAGGAGACAGAAAGCGAGGAAGACCACCAAGCACTGGGTGAATGACCATATTGAATGGAATCGGCAAATTCTTTAACGAACTTAGTTATTTAGCTACAAATTGAAATAACTGGAGATTCTTTTTAAGTAGCTTATGTTCCTGATGGGGTACGGCTATTGGAGTATAAATAAAAATATTCTAAGAAATTAATGTATAAGTAAGCACACATAATTTATTAATGAAGACAAAAACCCCGCAGAGTGTATACTCAGAGTGTGTACTTAGAGTGTGTTCTCAGAGTGTGTACTTAGAGTGTATATTTTCTAGTCAAGTCACTCAAAGGACATATTTTGTTAACTAATTGAATTTGAAAGGCTGTTACTCTTACTTTAAACTAATGGCATGCATTTTACGTAAAATGCATTAAGCAATGCAAAGACCGCAATTTAATGCATTTGACGCACAAGCTCTGTCACTTCCTTTATTATTTGATAATTTCATAACTTCAAATGCATTAGTAATAAATTGCTAGAACAGAACAGGCAAAGGAACTCATGCTAACCGAAATTTCAAAAAGGAGGAAATCCATGTTGTTTTCTTTGACTCCTGCAAGTGTGTAAATGTGAATTTATTTGTGAAAATTACTTTGCTTACCTACCTTACTTACACTCCTTGTATGTGTGAAATTCTGAAATCCTTGTGCTGGTCTTAGCAGACTTATGACATTGGCAAGGCGTTTAGCCACAAAATAGTACCAAAACTCCAACTATGAGACATGAATGTTGGGCTGATTTGAGAATATGAGGGTGTGAGGGTGTGACGGTGCGAGGGTGTGAGGATACACATCACCAGTGTGGATGCCAATGGGTGGTGTGTATCAGTCGTAATGGCATACCTCAGCTACTCGTAACTTGAAGTGTTTTTGGGTAAAGTTAAGTGGTGCCTTTTTATATGTTTAACTGTAAATTTTGCAGTATTTCTGAGATTTTATATTTTCTATATTATTTACCGTGCAAGTTCTAATATTTTCTTACGTTTTAAGTTTTTTTATGGTTCCTTTTTCTTTATGCCATTTTTGAGGTCAAAATACACTTGTACTTTTGCTTGCAGCACCACCACAAAGCAAAAGTACAAAATTTTAGTCTGGTTTGGTTCGGATAGGATCGGATCGGTTTGGTTTGGTTTGGTTTGGTTTTTGCCAAGTAGAAAAATTGCAACTTTACAATTTTTGTTACTTTTCTTCTTCTGGATACTGACTGCATGGAAACATATTTGCCTTTCTTGCATTGCCTGCCGTAAAGTAAAAGTAACCAAAGAACGTCGTGTACCTCTTCTATAAAAATTAAGAAAGCAAAACACTTGTACGACGTATATGCAACTGTATATGCCATGGAGCAGATACGACTATAAAGAAAGGAAATGTTATAGTAGGTAACTGAATTTTACGAAATTATTAGTTGAAACTGTGCCAAAATGTTGTTTCTTCTTGCCTTATATGCGGAGTGTGTATATGCCGAGTGTATATGAATCGCTACTAGAATATATAATTTATGTGCTCTGTCTGTTAGGGACAAAGTACATGTTAACGTATAATTTTAGCATAGAAAGGAATTCTATTTTGGCATGATTTATTGCATTTTAATAGGTTAAGAGCAATTGGCGTCAAAAGAAGTGTAAAATTTATGTTGATATTTACCGAGCGACACAGGCGGGGAAAAGTACCAGAATTCAGCGAAAAAAATACACGCCTTGCAGATAATTTTATACCAGCCAATACCAAAAATACATGAAATCACTATTTAATTTGTTACTTCTACTCGTGTGTTCTATGCCTGCTCTATGCCATATCATTTCGCAAACTCTAGTGGATCACACTATATACTCGTATAGGCACATACGTATACTGGAGCACCTTCATCAAGCACCGTACGTACATGTGGCGGGCGCTTCAGTTGTACTTGCACTTGTACTCGTATACATTAAACGGCTGTGGAGCATTCCAACTGATAATGAGTGGCTACGTGAATTCAATTAGCATTATATGCTGTATAAAACAGTTATCTGTGCCAACGTTACTTCGGCATAAATAAGGTTTATTATTTGTTTTAATAGGTTCACTTATGTGTAGTTAAGTGTATGTGCCCATAAATAAATAGTATGCTCGTGTGTGGGTAGGCTTTTAGTGGTTTTTGTATCAACACATTGCATTCTATATACTAATTTGTTAGATTTTTGGGGTAATATATTCTACTTAATTCATAAATGCTCTCATCTGAATTGTGTGAATGCCTAATTATTGGATTAAAACTAATTAGGAAGGACTTTTTCGAGTGCCAAACTTAATTTTGATGCAATTGATGCGTTTGACTTTAAGATTTCTCTACAAAATATTAATTTAAAAAAATATCTAATTAATTTATTCATTATTATTAACGTCATATAATTTTTATTTATTTTTTATTTATTTTTTATTTATTTTATGTAGTTTTACTTTAAGCATTATTTCAAAAAACTTTACAAAAGCTTTCAATTCTACTCACCCACATCCTTTGCTGGTTTAGCGGAAAGAATAAAAATGTCTATGCTATTCGTATCTATCAATTAACAAATTTAAGTGATTTTATTCAGACAATCTGAGTATAGACAAGATATCTTAACAATACATTGGACTATCCAAAGATTTATGTAGATAAATCACTTAACAACTTAGACAAAAATTATACTAAACATATTTTGCCTATACTGAAACTATCCAAACTAGCTCGATACTTTGACTATAATTCAACTATTTAAAGACTTACATGGATAGATCAGGTAGTAGCTAAGCTGAAGTCTAACTTGGCATAGTTAAGACACTTCGACTATATTTCAACTATTCAAAGACTCACGTACTTAAGTCACATAACGAAGGAAAACTATTCTGGCTTAGCCAAGAGAATGTGAATATACTTTAATTATCTGAAAAATTACTTGGGTAGATCACTCTACAGCTAAGAGAAAAATATATAGTAATATATATATATATATATATAGTGGTATAGTAAAGAGACTATACTTCAACCGTTCAAAGATGCAAGTGGATAAATCACTTAACAGCTAAGAGAATAACTATCTTGGTATAGTTCAGATACTTTGACTATATTTCAAATAATCAAAGACTCAAATGGATAAATAACCGAATAGCTAAGAGAAAAACTAACTTGGTTTACTTAAGATACTTTGACTTTACTTCAAGTATTTAAATACTTGCGTGGATAGATCAGGTAATAGCATAGTTAAGACACTTCGACTATATTTTAACTATTCAAAGACTTAAGTGGATAAATCACATAACAGCTAAGAGAATAACAATCTTGGTGTAGTTAAGATACTTTACTTCAAGTATGTAAAGCTTTACATAATAGATTATATAATAGCTAAGTGAATACAGATTTCTGTATTCCAATATCAAGCTATCACATAACAGTACACTTTTAATATTGTGAGCAATTATAATTTCAATTTTAATTTACAGTCTTGAGATGCAGTGCATTATGAATAAATTCAATACATTAATAACCCAACGGAGACAATTAGGAATAAATACACCATGATTTTGGCATCAAATTTCTTAGAGAAAAAAAATAAACGTCGGCATGAGACGCTTTAATATATGAACGGTCCTTTCTAATGCAGAAATGAGATTTTCACCGATCACCTAAGCGACCTATTATCGTGCTAAATGCCATTAGATACTTCACCTTGTATGTTCACTCCCTCTCATCCTCTCACTTAATACAGCTAACCAAAATTTTGTGTTTTGTCTCTTAAATATACAATACAGGAAATACTATTTTTATTAGGACAGTATAAAGACTATCTTTCTTAGTCTTGAATCCATATGATCCATGAAATACCTTGAAACATCATGAACTAATAGCGCCGAGCATTCCTTAATCAAGTTTCTGTCTCTTCTCTACAATATCTGTAGTCTGAGTTGGATTGAATTTCTAATTTAATTACATGATTATTCAATCTACAGTGACCGGTCAATAATTCCGTAATGATTCTTAGGTTATTTTTTTGATTGTTGTATGCAATATTTGAAGCATTTTAGGTTGGAAGTCCCTAAAACCATTTTAGTTTGTGATACTCTTGGTAGCCTTTTCCAATAGAATTCTCTTTCTTTTTCTCAGCCTCGTTCATAGGAAAAGTTCCATATTTCTTAACTGAAGTCATTGTGGTGGAGTGTAGGGAAATGGATATAGTTTGGTTGGAACAACATTGCGTATGAGTAATGTTTAGTTTGAAAAAACTTTGCATCATTGGAAATGTGTGGGTTTATTTTGACAGTTCAAATAATTGATAAGCTGTAATTAGGAAATTAAGTTATTGTGTTTATTTTACATCTGCTGTTGAAATATCACGAAAATACTATTTGCATATGAGTGAAACTAATTACAACGCTTCCAGGTAATTATTAATTTTTAATAAAGCACTCTGTTTAATTAGAAGCCATATTTTAGTTTGTTTCATTTACGAAATATTATGTTCTTATTATTTATTTTAAAGCATTGTTTGGTTGTATTAGTTTCTGAGTTTATATACTCTTGATTTTTCAATGTATGTATGCTAATACGAGATCTATACCGCCCGAAATATATGCTACAATGGTTTTCTCACTTAGTGAATTTAGTAATTCATTAACGCAATGAATATGGTTTTTGTTATAATTGAAACCTTAGAAAATTACTGTAAAATAAAAGAAAATTTGAATTGAGTTAAAATAATTGAAATAGTTTTGACTAATTATAAACGATTATATGGTTTTTTTTTTCTAGTACATTACAAACATCAAAATGAGTGCTATAGAAAACCCAGCCAAAAAACGTAAAGTCAATTTGAAAGAGCAAGTTGTGCATTCACGTCATATTGTAGGTGACAGTAGAGCTGTAAATAAGCAATTTAGGGTGGGCTTTTCAAAGCCCTCCAGTAGTATCGAATCTATGCAATATTCGGTTAATGAAGTCACTGGTAAAGTTTTGGATCATCTCCGTAAGCCCAGCAGTATCGACTGGAGACAGAGACTTTTACTTTTCTTACATATTCTTCGACAGAACCAAAAGCAACAAAGGGAGAGAGAGGAAAAGTGCAAGCACACGTAGGGAATAAACATACGATCCCTATCGTCGATAGTACATAGAACAGGAAATGTGCCTTAATATAATCGGAACGTTTGAGATAATAAGAAACTCCAAAGCAAGGTTATGCATGCCTTTTTAAATTACGAAATTTAAGGTATTCTATTTTTGTTACGCATATAAAATAAAATCATTTATAGCATGTGTTTCTATTTTATTTACAGGTGAAATAATATGAACCAAAATTATAATGAAACCAAAATTTGAATCCTTATAGGTCCAACTACAGACATTGGTCACCAGAAGCATTAACGTAGGACGAGAGCATATAGAAATTTGTGTCAATTTGTTTCTTGTGCAGAGCACGTAAAATTAATTGCCATTAAAAATATTTAAAACTTATTCAAAATTAAATTACTTGAATAAATTATCAGTGCTCATTAAAATATTATGATATTTATTATATTATAAAAGCAACAGAGTAGAGACTTGGTTGTTCTTTTAGATCAATTAAGTTTAAAATCTAAAAAATTTTTATAAAATGGATCGATCACGCCTATATGTGACTTATTATAACATTTATTGCATTATTCTTATTATTGCATTTATTGAAATTCAAATAAAATTCAGTGAACCTTCTGTCTAACGGACGCAAGTGAACTCCTGAAGATGTTCCTCTTCCAAACACTCGTTTTTAGAAAGTTCTGTTGGCTATGGAATACACATTTTATTGTAATGTTTTATGCAGCAAATACGATTACGATTGTTGATATTATGTTGTTTGCTATTGTCACGTTCCTTTTTAGAATGAAATATTTAATATAAAATTTATACCAAACACTTTCCGCAAGACTCGATAAGAACTCCTGTTCACTTAGACTCCATCTATTATTGTTTGTATATGCAATGAAAATATATTATGTTGAGGCTAGTTGAGTCAGTGCACCTGAGCACTTATACTTTCTATTAACTGAGAGGTTTCTTCAAAACCCCTCTTTGCGCCTTGACTAGATTATTGTTTATCACTTCATTAGACTAAGCAATAATTGACCTCAGATCTGCATACCTCCCCGTGGATTTTTAAAATAAAATAAAATATATTTAAGTCATTTTTAAGGATATAAAAATAGTTTTATAAGTTAAATTAATTGGAAGGAGAGATGAAGTAATGATGGCATAACTTTTGTTACTTTATTGCCAATATTCTATGAATACATTCACCAATGAACAACATTTCTAGTAAAATCCGCTTAAAGTATTTTATATCTGAGTAAACATTAAATTAATTTCAATATTTAAAATGTTCGCTTAAGCAGCTTAAATCGTTTTTATGAAATAAAAATGTTTATTGTGAAAATTGGCTCAATATAATCTGCCGCTTAATTGCAGTCCTTGTAAAATAATTTGTAAGACATAATTATTGCCCATGAATAACAGGTTGCACGTTAATGTCAGCAATATTGTTCGCTTCATAAACAACAACAACAACAACAGCAACAGCAACAACAACATCCACAGCAACAACAACATTCACAGCAACATCAACATCAGGAACAACAACATCCACAACAACACTAACCTCAGCAGCAGCAACAGCGAGAACAACATCAACAACAACAACATGAACAACAACAACATGAACAACAACAGCAACAAAAGCCAGGAAAAGTACAAAGGTAATAATAGTGACAATAAAAGTTCGCCGTAATTGTCAAAAGCAACTAAAACCGAATCTGCTGCGAGCAATAAAGTACGACAGAAAAAATTATTTTAACTACTTGACCAGCAATAATTACGCATAAATGCCATTACAGTTGAGTGCACTGAAAATGCGTTGGAACATTAAATGTACTCACAGTATTGTCGGCCCACAACGACTGCAGAATACCCTACACTTGTTGGAAAAGGGGAAATGCTTTTAAACTTGCAAACGATCTTTTATTTAAAATATATTTTATTAAATAATTAAATATGATTAAAAAGAAAATATAGTATTGATTTTTAAAATAAAACTAAATACATTAATCTCATGGTAATGTATATGCAAATAATTTTATTGAATAGATAATTGTCTTAAATGATTGTCAACTATCTTAAATGATAGTAAAGGCTAACTTAACGCTTATCATAAATAAACGCTAACTACAAGTCCAATTTTCGAGCAGCTGAGGTCGTAAATCATAACTCTAAAAATGTTCTAAAAACTTCCAACTGGTTTAATAACTCTAGATTATTTTAGCAGGTCAGTGACTTTACTGATCTTCACAGAAAGTATTTCATATGGGTAGTATTGCAATTCCAATTGTAATTCATGAAAGTTGGTTAGTAGTATTTGTGAGAACCTACATTAATTTGATAGAGCTGTACTTTCATAGCCGCTACAATATAATATAATAAAATGCTATATAATCCTGTAGAATGTTTTTGAAATAATATTTTATCTTGCGCTGCATATATCATAGTTCTTCCAAAAAAAAAACAAGTATCAGGATTTATGCTCCCTCTTCCTTATTCCAATGCTGGTTTCGTAATCTTAATTACATTTATATCGATTGTCATTGATTATGACGACACGACAGACATGATTGATTAGAAAAGTGGTCGCTTATTCAAATGAACGAAAAACATCTCTAATTTGATGTATTTAGAATTCAAATATTTTTAAAGAATTGTAGACCTTACTGAAAGAATAATGCTAAATTCATAAACCTACTGTAAATAGAGATGAATCATTGGAAGAAACTGTTTTAGTATGAATATAAGGCATAACATTGCTAAGTAGAGAGGTACATATGGAAACCGTCAATTTTGTGTTCTGGAAAACAAACACAAATAAAATACATAAAGGTTTTATTTAATTTTGCTATCTAATCGGTACCGCTGTCTATGAATATGTCGTCGTCCATAATATATTTTTCATCGCTGCAGTATGTATTAAATTAAATTCATTTTTATAAATAACATTCTGTTGAATTAAAGTTGATTTGATTGTCTTAAACTATATTTGCTATTTATAAAAATATTACCAATTAATCAACTACTTTTACAAAAATATCCATTCTTATGTACCTACAACGAGAAGACAGGAGGAGGCTGGAAAATACGTAAATTCTCCTATCAGACGAATATGCGTGTGTTTGTCGGTGGAATATTATTTATCAGCTCAAAACATGGCTGTGTAATTGATCTCATAAACATTCAATCTTACCATCAAGAACGACACTAACTATTAATGCGACACTAACTAACGACACTAACTATACTCTTTATAATGAAACAGATAACAGTTTTTAATACTATGAGTATACTTAATTTTTCGGTATTAAAATCGAGCACCATATGGAATGCCATATAAAAATAACTTAATTAACAAAAAACAATGAATTTTCCATTAAAACAACCCTCTAAAATATTTCCGAGTTGACATCAGTAAAGTCCTTTGGTATTCTATATAATTGTATGTGCTACATATATGTCTTCAAATAAAAATTACTATAGTCTATTCCACGGAGTTTTCGTGAATTTCAGCAGGGATATTAATTACTACAAAGATTTCTGTCTGTATTATCTAGATAGAGATATGTTCGCTTATAAAAATTTCAACCGGAGAGTCCCTGGTTACATTAACTACACTGGAATTTATCAACCGAACGATTTTTATCAGTAAACTTAGGATTTTAAGAAATTTTGACAGTTTTTTAACATTTCAAAATTTTAAAATTAAATATTAACTTCATATTCTGTGTTATAATAAACATACAGCATTAGGTGAAGTTAATTAATTATTTTTTATTATTACATTTGGTTATATATAATAAAATCCATTGATTGCTTAATCGAAACCACCAAAATCTAATTTTGTTGCTCTGTGATTCTGATTTTCACACAAAGTCCTGATTAACTAACCAGAACAAAATATTTAATGGATACCAAAATTCATCGAATAAATGAAATCTACAATTAACTAACCATTGGTTAAACTGGAGTGAAAAAAGTATTATTTAACACCTACTTTATAGTTGAGGTAATATAATTTTATTTTATGTTTAATAGATTTTTTTAATTAGAAAAATCTAAGTAAGCATGATGTGTTCTAAACTTTCTAATTGAAGTGTAAAAATGATTTTATTCGTTTCATAAGAGATTATTACAGAAAATATTGGTTCTTATCGAGACAGCAGAAATGGCATCTAATCGTAATAGGCGTGATAGAGTAAGTAGGGTATACTTACAAAAATGTTGTTAATACCTTGTCTGTCACTATATAACAAATATAATGTATCATACCAGATATATGAATTGTAGTTGTAGTTGAAACATTAACACTCAATTTTTTAGAATCGTCGTAATCGCCCTGAGGCAGGTAGTACTGTGAATGACAGTCTTGGTTCTGACGGTGAATTCGATGAAGATGATGACGATATGTGCGATTCGCCTATTGATTGGTTCGCGGAGACCGAATTTGATGAGAGACTGTTAGATCCTCAGTTTTTCGTCAAGTTTATCACAAACACTGACGAAAAACCAAAAGAACATAATAAGAATCATCAATTTCGTCACTCAATTGTTCCGAGAGAGCTGTTAGGCAGTGGCACCAGCAGCAGTACAACGGTGTATAGTACACCCTCCACCGATAATACTGATAGTACCGATAACACTGCATCAAGTAGCGCAGCTAATACTAATACTGCAATCCACATTTCTAGCTATGAATCAGAGAATTCACAGAATTCACTAGAAAATATTGACACTGCATCAAGTAGCGCAGGTAACATTAATACCGCAGTCAACATTTCTACCTCTGAGTCAGAGAGTGCACAGAATTCTTCACAAAATACTGATGCGAGTAGTTCACAATGTTCTACTATTTTTTCAAGCCCTCACAACACTACCGATAATACTACTAGCAATATCAATAATATCACCACATCTCTCTCTGAAACTTCTCATGGCACCAATAATAGAGACAGTTCAACCAATGACGAAATGATTGCCTTGGATAGTCTCATCAGCACTATGGGCTTGCTCGGGGTCACACCTGCTTCAGGAACTATGCTTTCTAACAGTGGTGACATCGATAGTTCGCTAGATGCTTTATCTGGACTGTTTAATGGTTTGAGCACATCGGACTCTATGACTTCGAATGATAACAATCAATCAGAATCATCAGATAGTGAAATCGGAAACTAATATTAAAATTTCTTATTGTTATATATAGAATAACACATACAACATATTTTTTAATATTAAGAGTCAACAACAGAATTTATTTATTTATATTTAGAAACAAAATCCTATTCTGTATTTTGTTAACCAACTTTTTTTGAAGAAATCATTTCTTTTCATATTTGAGGCAATATGGAAAAGTTTGAAAAGTGAAAAATTGCCGAAAAGCAGTTATAATTATTACTAATAAATTAAATTGTGTGTTCAGTTGATTTGTGTTTTATTTATTGTAGTTTTATAATAATAATTATTATTGTTAAAAACTAAAAAAAAATTCATAATTATTTCATAATAGATACAATAATTAATGATAAAAAATCTTTTTTTGTAGTCTTTATGAAAAAAAATTGCCAGCCACCTATAACTACAATAATACCTATAATCACGTTGGTAACCCCGGTCCCCGCTTATTCATCCAGATCTGCTGCTAAACTGCTTCTATAGAGTAGTGCTGATATTTCGTTTACGATTATTTTTATTGCATTCAAAGAGCAGGATGTATAGTGCTCTTTGGATATAGAGTTATGGAGATATTCCAATATCTTCATTGAAATACAAGAGACTGCAGGGAACAGGTTCAAAATTTCACCAATGAAGGTCATTGTCGGGTATACCAAATTTATTTAGTGAAGACTTAAGTGGAAGTGATATAAGTTTATCCTGCTTAATACAAATAGTCATATGGATACGACATATGCTGGAACGAAGAGTCTGCTGTTTGTGAGTCCATATACTAGCCCGGGGGTAATAACCCTTGGAAAGTCTTAATCGTCTATTAATACGCGTATTTTTTAAAGTATATTATATTATTATTTAAAACTGAAAACAATGTATGGTATATAATTTCTTGATGTTGTGATATGAGTAGCAGTGTTGATGTGTATTAAGTTCAAATGATGTAGGTATATTGCACAACCAATAATATCATTTAACATTAAGAGAGTGATTCAATTAATATTGAATATATGAAATTTTTAGAAGTTTCCTGTAATAAACAATAAAAAGTATTTTATTTAATTTTTAATATGTGATAAATTATGATATTCGCAAACAAAATTTAATTCATGCTATTCATAAAAGATTTGTTGTGTGATGGAAAAGCTATTAAGATTGTATAGAGATTACAGTATTTATGCTAAGAAACTTTTCGGAAGGGGTCTTCCGATCAAATTTGATTTGAAATGTTTAATAATAGTGTTCTTAGTTCCAAAACAAGAACTAAATGCAGTCTTATTTATTTGACTTTAATGGTCGCAGAACTTTGTACCAAACACTGAACTATAAAATCCTGATTTTCACTTTATGAGTTATTATTTCTTTAGATTAGATCTTTAATATATAATATATAATTTAATATATAGGTCTTTAAAAACTATTATCGAATCATAACGTATATGTAACAACTGTAAATGCCCTATTAAGTATTGACTTTAACATTCCTTGTGCTTGGAGCTGATTTCAGGATAAATTTCAAGAAGTAATTTCTGGCAAAATATATGAACTTTTTATAAAATATACTCAGTAGGATAGTGATATATTATTGATCATTTACAATGTTGATTTTCTGTAATAGCGTTTCAGTGTGCAACGAAAAGCAATTATCTGGCTCTCGATATTCCGATAGAACTCGTTGAGTTTTGACCCAGAATACTTCTTTACCTTCCGATCTTTCTCTCAAACTAATTTACCACAGTGTCTTTTTAATGGTAAAAATCTGTCAGTTTCTAATAATATTTCTTTCAATTAAATTCATTGCACTTTGGTGACTTTCCTACCACACTCTGACGTTTTGTTTTCGGTTCTGATGTGTGGTTTTAGGAACACCACTCTTCATCACTAGATATTTATATTTAGATATTTAAGAAATATCTTCGCAATTTTGAACACTTCAGTTTTTTTTAGTCAACCATCGGAATATATTCTGGACCAACATTTTCATTCCGTTTACTTTTTAAATGGGTAGCACATATACATAGTGTGTTACACGATGCACGCATATATCTTACGTTGACCTTAATTTTTGATCCGTTCAGGTTTTAGTGAATCTCTCATATAGTAGTTGCTTGGAACATTTCTTTTGGAAGTTCTCTATCTTTACTTCATCGGCGAGTGGTTAACTGTTATCCTTTTCATAGTATTCACGGGTGGAACATACATTCGTATTGAGTTGAACTCAATATAGGTACAAATGGACTTTAAAATTTGCTCTTTGTTCCAAGTTGATATAGAATCACAGCAAAATGCTGCGTGACTTGGTTCGAATTTTTACTGCAAATGCATGAAGTGTATATTATTTATCTAAAAATGTAGATCAAGTATTGAAACCATTCCGTAAATGCACCAAATTCTCAGTTTCATTGAAAGTACTTACGCGCTCTTCTCATTTCACTGTAGCTCACATAAAATAATTTCGAAAATAATTAAAACTTTAGTTCAATTAACAAATACAAAACCTTAAGTGACTATCCACTTTGGCTGCACCATATACGTATGGTATATGTAGACGTATTTCGTAAATATTTTTTGAATGTTGTAAAATCATATTTTTGTGGCCTTTGACAATTGGTCGTTTGTTGCGTTGAACTTTATGCATTTACATTTGCATTTGCATTTGCATTTGCATTGCTCACATGCTGGCATGTTGGCATGCTGGCATAATGCATTCTCGTAGCCAGCCAGTTAAGTCCTTACAAAGATGAATGCATAAGTAAACTCCTGTAAGTTTATGGATTATTATTTAAATGCGGCCATTTGCAATATCACAATTGCAACTCATATGCATTATAGCCACAAACATGGCACATTAATGCAGCCATTGCCATTTGCCATTTGCCATTGAGTTGCTTCTGTTGATATCAGCTATTGTTGCTATTACGAGTATTGTTACTTTCGGTACTGTTGCAGCATTTAGTGCCTTTGTTGTTATTACTTGCTGCTGCTGTTGCAAATGCACAGCAATATCATTTTCTACGCTGATGCGCTTTCAGTTTTAATCGAATTCACAATCTGACCATTATGGTGAATGTATGAGACCAATTTGTATTGATGGCCAACAACTGGAATGTGCCAAGCATAATTTTGTTTATAGTTAATGTCCTGCATGTATATTCATCCTTAAATGCACGCAACTAAGTGCGTGCGAGTGTCCGGCAATTGCTGGGGGCATACTGAATTGCTCCACTGACAAGTCCACATGTCCATGGCAGACGAGCACAACCGAAAATCTCAAGCTTGCAATATTTAAGTAGAATTTGGTTTTAAAATTCATGAAATCTTAATTATTTGTGAGCTACCAAATTTTCCATTGTTAACAAATCTGCACATTCTGGCTTATTTGTGTTTAATGTGTGGCTAATCACACTGTAAACTTTAGTTAAATTCATATTAAATTAATTAAAATTTTAATGTTAATGCTGATGCTGATGCTGTTGTTGATGCTGTTGCTGATGCTGTTGCTGATGCTGAAGTTACTGGCAAGCATTTGGGATTGTAATTTGTGTTTAGATAAGTTGAAATTGGTCCGAGCAATTAAGATGTGGGACATGCAAATTTGTTCGAGCTTTAATATGTTTCATGTAAATCATATTTCGAGATAAAACGGAATTTGTATTTATTTTTTAAATAGCTTTTGTTAATAAAAATATTTTACAAACTAAATACATTCCAGAAAGTTTAATAAATGAATGAATGGGGTTATTTATTTTAAGCAAAACGCAGTTATAGGCCGTGTGCGAGTTCGAGTAAATTGATGGTAAATTGATGGATGAGGAAAATAGTAAATTATCTCGGTATGGCAGCGAATCATGGTATTTACAAGAATTTCAAATAGGATAAATAAGATAATATTTAAGTAAATTAGGTGTTACCATTGTAAAAATTTTATAAGATGTTTAATAAATAAATTTGAAAACTTTTAAATAAAAATAATAAATAAGTGCTACAAACAAATAAATGAATAAATAAATATTTACATAAATGCAGTGCAAAAAATCCCTAGGAAATTTCAATTTACCTTATCTTAATTTACCCGAACTCGCACACGGCCATATTATATATTTTAATAACTATTTAAAGAGTGCATAAATTCATAATAAAAAAAATAATGAAATAAAGAAGAATAAACATGTATATTTTTCGAAATTTCATTACGTCTTCATACAATTCATACAGATCAAAGACTACCAGATTAGTTTTAAAGCAATACCCGAGCGAGGCATTCTATTTGGAGCGTACAAATATGTACGCAACATTTAAACTCTTTACTATTAAGATAGTAAAGTGACACTAACATTTTTTTAAAGGATAAACTAAGTGGTTAAAATCACTTGTTAATTAAGTCCTCTAAATATTTTAATAGCCCCAAATTCATATAGTCCCAAATTTCTTTTAGATAGTCCCGAATTTGTCAGGCTACCATTAAACAAATGACCAGATCACAAGTCTTACTTGAATTTATAAGATTGTCTGTATTTTTTTTATATTTTTATTATTATATTGAGGCTTTAGATGAGTCAGTGCACTTGAGCACTTTTACTCTCCCTTAACTGTGAGATTTCTTTCATAACCCCTCTCTATGCCTTGGACTGGATTATTGTTACCACTTCATCAGACTGAGTAACTGAGAAACTTTAATCTAATTCTTAAGAAAAATAAGAAAATAAGGAATAAGAAAAAATCGAATATCAGTGTTATAAAAGCGGCTACAATCAAAAATACTGAGCCAAATCATAAGTGTAGACTCGTACATTACAAACACTATGTCCATAAGGATGTACAAATACAAACTATCAAAGAAGTAAATTTGGACGCTATATGTTCAGCTAAAAATTCAATTAAGTAAAAATTAATAAAAATTTTGTTGTTTGCAATTTAGTCATGTTCAAAACCTCTCTCTAAATAAAATTATTATTATTTTTTATTTGTATTATTATATCAAGTCAAATCTAATTTTTTTTTAAATTCAA